AAGAATCAACCGCATAAAATTAACAAGATTGCAAGCTCCAACACTGGTTCTGCTTGTACCCACCCAACAAATGTACATACCCTTTGGACGTGAGAGGCGTGCTATATGTGAGCAGCAAAAAAACACAAACTGGAGAGGCACAATGAACGCATGCTGGGGTTAGATTCACATTACGAGTATATGATATATAAAACTTGAGCTTCATAGAAAGTAGAATTAGCCCAACATTTCAAATAGCTCTTATTTTAAATTCAGAAATACCATGTCAAGTTGCAGACTTTTCACATCAAAGAAAAAACCAAGCTAACTCCACGAAGATAACACGAGGAGGATGATACCAGCTTCATCAAGGAAAGCAGTGTAGCCATGGTACCCGCCATGACAACATCGCCTGAAAAGAAATGTGTGCTATTAGATTCCAGATAATAACTTGATGAGACACACGTCTTGTGGAAAATCAAATAAATAGAACATATTGAAAGCATGTGGGATTGCAATCACACATTATGTATAGTTAATTGAAGTTCTTCCAACAATGTCACTGATCACCTACCTTGTCGACATGAGATTTTTCTTTACTGCTGCTTCTTGCATCAGTATGTTGATCTTGCTACCAGATTGAAACCCAAGTAGCTGACGAACTAGCAAAAACGGGGAGGGAGAGAGAGAAGAGAGACCTTTATGCATCAGATTTTGAAACAAATTGGTGGTTCATGCGGTGATAAATAACATATTAAGAAAGCCTTAAATCAAAAGAACCAGAGAACAGATTTCATCCAAGTGAATTACTCCACAGCACTGATCTTATGAAAGGAAAGAGGAAACAATTTTACAACAATGGAAGTCCATATAGTAGATGAGGATGGCATGATAACAACAGACATGTCGAGATTCCTTAAACCTCAACCTATGAAAAGAACATTTGCATCAAAGGAAGGAATGCTGACTAACCCAAGTCACTTATTCGGAGAAGACTCCTAATCTTAGGGGTCGAATAGCATGTACTATATAAGAGAAAGGCAAGATGGTGCAACTCTCGTACCCCGCTTAATGATGAATGGCACCAGCAGGAAAGTAGTTATCAAGTATACTCATCTAGAAGCCATGCAAAGGGTGGAAGCTTCTTTTGGATAGTACAAGAACCAGAAATTAAAACTATCCAACATGGATCCATGGGCAAATTTTCATTGTTGAAATATGATCTTTAACTCACCCCCTAACCCCAATCTCATCTGTGCCCAGATAATTATATCAGATTCCCCAAAAAACAACCTGCTCCAAGTCAGAGAATACATTAATTCACAGTTACTGGAATCTAAAACAAAGGTTCATGCTTTGTGGTTTATCCTAGGCTCCACACATATAATTCTTACATGTGATCCACTCAAATAGGCAAAATACGGTCAAGACATTTTCAAAGTAAACTAAGTTTTAACAGAGCATAACCAAAAGTATGAAGTGTAATCGTCCATAGTTTTTTTTCTCCCTTAACATAAATTAATTATCATAATAATATAATTTTTTAAAATTATTAACTTCATTGTTTGTATAGTATGATTAAATAAATAATTTAAATTGATTTTCTTAATTATATGGATAAGTTAGAAATTTTATCAATCAATTAGATTATTAATTGATTTATTTTCTAATAAGTGATGTGATTTTTAAAAAGTAAATGATTCAAATTATATTTTAATGTATGAATCATAAGAAATAAATATTATAATTCTATCTTTACGTGTGAAAGTAAAAAAAAATTAAAAAAAATAATTAAATTATTGTTTACCTTTCAAAATAACTCAACTTATCTTGTATAAAGAGACTCGAGTAAAAAATTTTACAAAGCGAGGATTCTCAAAAAGAGATATGATCCTCTATTTCCTTTTATCAGTTTTTATTTATATTTTGAAATCCTTGATATTAGAATTGTTATAATTTGTATGATATATAATATTTTAATTTTAAAATTTTATGATTAATAAATAATTATCATTGAATTGTGATGTTAGAATGATTAGTTAATTTAATAAGAGTTCTAATTCATTTAATTAGATATATTTATATTTTAAGGAATTATGTGTTAATTTCTATGATTTAATTAGTTTTAATTTAGAATCATAAATCTAAATTAGTTAATTCATAAAAAAAGAATGGATTAAAGGTTAATTATTATTTTATAATATTTTAAAATATTTTTTAATATAATAAAATATAATTTAATAAGATGGATTTGACCTGAGATAAACTAATTGGCCAATCGAATTATGTGATCAGGTATAATTCAACCCATGTGATCAAACATGACCTAGCTCAATCTATATGATTAGGTATAATCAGCCCATATAGTCAAGTATAACTTAACCCATGTGACTAAGTATGATCTAGCCTATGTAGTTAGGTATGACCAAATCTATATGGCCAGGTATATCCCAACCCATGTGGTTAGATATGACTCAGCCTATATAGTCAGGTACGACGCAAACCATATAGTCAAGTATGACCCAACTCATATGGTTAAGTACGGTTCAACTCATGTGGCCAAGTACGACTCAATCCATGTGGTCAAATATTATTAAACGCATGTGACTAGGCACAACCTAACCCACGAGCTAAACGTGGCTCAATTCAGTAATAAGACTTAGCCTAACCTGTGAGTAAAGCTTAGCCCAACTTGTAAAACTAGAGCTGCCCAATTATGCAATTGGTTCTAGACACATTGTTGCCCCTTTATCTAACTCGTTGTATCTCAGCCCAACCTTCTACTAAGGATAGGCAGGTGCAACACATATGACTCGTCTAAGGCTTAAGTGGTTCAGTTCGATCTGGGTTAACATCATGTGACATAGTCTAATTTTTTCTTATTAATTTGAGCCTATTAGTTGGCTAAATCAGATAGGTTTGATCAATTTAAGTTGATTTAGGGTGATTCTAAACTAATAAGGACTTAGGATTGGTTCCATCAAATTCTAATTAAATTGAGGATAGTTCAAGTCAATTAAACTATTTCAATTAAGATTCTAGTTGATTTAATGCTATTAAGAGATTGATATCTTATGTGTTTATGATTTGATAAATTTAAAAGTCTTATTTGAATGTATAAATGATTATTAATTTTTTAATTTTGATATTATGTGATTATTATTATGTAATGTATATGACTATGCTGAGTGATTCACGTTAGAAGTGCAACCTATGAAAAAGCTATGGGCCCATTACGACATAAAGCCACCAATAGACATAACAGGTTATACATGAAGTATGGTCCCTAATAATATCTTATCATACTATTTCTTGGATAGATGCATGAATGAAGAAATGAATATAAATAAATAATAATGGTTGATCATATACCCCTATCGAGATACAGTTAGGCGTGACGATTAGACGATTCCTTCATCTATTGTTGAAAGAAACATATCCCTCATTTAGGCTAGTGAGGGATATTATTACATTTATTAGTTAGGAGTATGATATAAGTTCTCTTCATTCATCATTTGTTATCTGACTGTTATGTACGTCATCAAGATATATTACACATAATTGATGTGTAATATTATTTATTATATAAAAATTATTATTATTTTAATATATAAATTTTATAATAATTTATTATTTTATATTAAATTATTAATATTTTTATATGTTTTAAGGTTAATTTTATGATTTTTTGAAATATTTCTACCAGGATGTGTGAATCTTACGTGTGACAGCAAACCTGCAAGCACATGCTCCATCGCCAGAAAAACATAATAAACTATATTACCCTATCCCCCACAGGAAAAAGTATAAAGCACCTCTTAAAACCGGCATTTTCAATCCCTATAGATAATACATCAACTAATTACCCAGCATGAGTATTCCTTAAAATAATTGTTTAAATGACTAAAAATATAGTTAAGCTCAAAGGTCAATTAACTCATCCAGAGAGCCACAAATTGTTGTTTTTTAACTTCCTTGTTATGAAACCAAATCAATTTGCGGCCATTGGGGAATATATACACAATCTGTGTCTGCATAAATCCATACTGATGCATGTATCTGTGCATTGCAAATTACTCTGTATCTTAGATATCCATGACATCACAAGTCTAAGATACACTCATTCCTGCAAGATGCTCTTAATTATAATAAAAGTCTGAAGTGTTTTGTTTTCATACCTTGTTAAGATAAAATACATGACAAGGTCCAATGACTATCAAACAACTACTCTTATGGACCCTCACACAACCCTTACAGATATTTACTGATATTACCCAAGCGACCAATTTGTTACAGCGAACAGATAAAGATAGAAGTGAAAAAGACAGAGAGGACTGCAAGATACTTAAGGCCCTGTTTAAATGATAACTTATGGAGAGAGGAGAAAAGTATCTGGAAATGCAATCTTTTCTCTCATGGTTTAATAAGATGTGAAAAGAGAAGTTCTAACAAGTAGTGCTTGACAATTTTAACATTGATTGTTTTACACTTAAAAGTTTTCATTCATATCACATAGGGGCAAACAAGTGAAAAAAAGAAAGATGGTTTACTTCTCCAATTTCAAAGGAAAGCAAAAGGAGTTTCTGGAGAGAATTGGTATATTCTTGATTCTCTCTGCTTCTCTCCAATCCTCCCCTATTTGTTGCATCAAAGCAAGAGAATCCATGTCCCTTCTTTTCAGTTCACTTCTCTCGTCTCCACTTCTCTCTGTCCTAACAGGCCAAAAGAGAAACACTCGGAGGAAATAAATGAACAACTCTAGATGAGGAACAGACCAGCAGACATATTTGAGCCATAGACAACAAAGATGAATCAGCTAAAGAGCACCTCAGAACGAAAATAACAGTTCTATCTGCCAATCAGAACCCAAAAATATTGGTAGATCAATAAGTCAATGTAATGCCCTGAACTTTTTTCTTATCCAACTACAAATATGACCAATGAAAATGGGCATTTTGAATAAAAAGTGTAACATTATCGAGTATGAAGCTGAACAAAAGATGTGTCGATGCAAAGATAGAGTGAAGGACAAACACAAGAATGATCGTGATGCAAATATCTATAAGCCAATCCAAAATTTTACAACTATTTCTGAAGAGAACTAAAAGGACTACAAATCTGGAGCAATGGAATATGTAAAAGTTAAAGTGAACTCAAAAACACGATAAAGTGGCGAGCTTGAAACAACTGTTATTACTCCCATCCCACTAGAGAGGTGTCCTACAGTCACAGAAAGATACAAAACATCTGTAACCTTATAAAAATTCAATGGCATCACCAGTACTCTTATTAAAGGTTGGTCTATTAAGAATTCAATCAAAATACTAACCGTGTTAACGTCAATCTACATGAGTGATCCTACCAAACACCTCGTTAGACGCTTAATCAGATTGACCGCTGAGAAAAATGGCAGCGTCAACCAGTCAAATTGGTCAAATAGACGAAGATCGTAAGAGCATAACGGAATTCGAGACAACTAATGATTCCGAGGTTAGAAGACAAAAGACTTGCTTACCCCCTGTTGTGCTCCTGCACGAATCGGGAAATTTTGTCATCCACCTCTGTAATTTAATCAAAAAAATAAGGAAAAATCAAAACGAGGATAAATGAAAGGGAAATCAGGAAAGAGATTGAACGCACAAAAAGATTGAAAAGGGGAAGGGACGAACAGGTGAGGCCGGCAGTAAGCTTGACGATGAGAATGCCGATCATGGCGAATCCGACGAGGAAGGGCCAGTTGCGGCTCCACCCGCTCTTGAGGAACACCGGCCATGGGTCGAACTTCCTCATCTCTCGTCGCGCTTGTCTGCTGACGACCCTCTGCCTCTCAAGGTTTTTGGGAACTCCACTCCTCTTGATGCAATCGTAACGGCCTTCCACTTGGACATTTCTCATATCATAACCAACCCCCGTGATTCCAACCTTAATATTTACACACGATCAAATGAACTCCGATAACTTATTCATCAGATCCGACTCAGCGACACGGGTTCGGATGTGGATCTTCCACCCCGTGCCAAGGTTTCTCATTGTTACGGGTTCGGATGCTTTTAGAAATCGACCCAATAAGACTGGACCACAACACAACTATTGAACGCCACGCGGCGTGATTTGTGTCAGTCCGTCCTTGTGGGATTTAAATCACATACCATAAAAGCGCATCATCTGATGGTGATCGCTAAATCATGCGGTCAAGATTGACGATCAAACCGTGGCGCCACGAGGGAAGTAAGTTGGGCTCGCTGATTACCATGAGCCCATCTTTGCAAGCCCTATTACCTATATATATATATATATATATATATATATATATATATATATATATATATATATATATATATATATATATATATATATATATATATATATAT